TGAAGAACATCACACCTGTAGCAGGGTGTCACCTGTAGGTTTTTCCCTTGGACTCCTGGCCTTACAGAATCATAGAGAATGCGGAGTCCCCATTTCTTCTCCCTCTGCAGCGCTGATTGCAATGGGAGCAGGGCAGGGAGTCACCCAAGGGAGGCTGCTAACAAAAAAGTACAAAGGCAGCACAGCTGGTAATGCCAGACAGTGGCTTATCACAGGTGGGAAGGGACCTCAGAAGGTCACATCTAGTCCAGCCCCCTGCTCAAAGCAAGACCAGCCCCAGCTCTCTCATCCTGGCCATGGCTTTGTCTGCCCGGGTTTTCAAAACTTCCAAGGATGGAGACTCCACCACCTCTCCGGGCAGCCCGTTCCCATGCTTTGCTGCCCACTTACCTGTGTGTCCTTAGTAGCTGAGCAAACAGGAAAGTCCCACAACCTCGGCTTGGCTGAACTTCTTTCCTGGGCGTGAAACATTTGCTCTGGCTCTAGATACAGGCCCCGATTCTGGGGGTGCTGCGCATTGCCTGGCTGGTCCCAGGCATTTCGTGCTCTCAGCATGTCAGGGCTGTGCCCTTGCACTGTGACAATAAACCACTGTCCAGTGTTACCAGCTGTGCTTTCTTTGTCCTTTCTTTGTTAGCAGCCTCCCTTGGATGACTCCCTGCCCTGCTCCCATTGCAATCAGTGCTGCAGAGGGAGAAGAGATGGAGTGTGCGTGTGTGCATGTGTTGGGGGGATCCATACTATGGAGAGAGGCAGGTTTTATCCCACCATTTCCTTTTTCTCAAGCTAAAGCTGCCTCCTGTACTCTCTCTGGCTGGAGTGCAGTGGACTGATGAATGGGTTTCCAGCGTGTGGGCCTGATCCTGTGCTCCAGTGCTAGAAGCAGCTCACATTGGAGTGGCAACCCATCTGGGAAGAGACAGTGCCTGGCGATCCCTGGATGACTGCAGGTTGTGGCAGGCATAGAAAGGCTTGTATTCGTGCTGGAAATTGTAACGGTGTCTGGAGGAGAACCTGTGAACATCACAGCATAGCACTGCTCACAACAGCAGGAGGGGTCGTTTCCAATAGGAGCAGCGAGGCGGACTCCAATCTGACGTGACAGCGGTATGTAGCCAGAGTAACGCGGTTGTTTTCTGGGGAGCGGCTTCAGGCTGTCACCAATGCACTGCTTAGCACTGGGCATGGCCACTTAACGGAGCAGTGCTGCAGTTGCTGGCAGATGCAGTGAGCCCAGTTCCCCACTGTAGGGCACTGATACGTTGCAGGAGAAGATGGGATTGCATGAGGAGCTGGCAGGGGACCTGACAGCATTGGGATCCTTATCAGGATTTTAAGCATCTTTTGCAAAGCTCTTTCTTGGTCTGTTTTAAAAAAAAAACAAACCAGGGTAAAGCAACACTCACCTTGCCAAACCCTCGGTCTGTCACATATGGGGCATGGCTGCTGTGACAGTAGACATCCGGAGGGATTAGCAGTGCAAGGAGGGTTGCTAACACATCAGTACATCAACCAGACAGGCAGCAACTGGCTGAAGGTCCGCTTGAGCCACCAGGCTAACAGCTGGGCTAAGCAGTGGGCAGGACACGAAGGAACAATGTGCTGCCGTCACGTCCAGCCACCTCCAAGCCCCAGCCTCAGTGACCCGCTCCCATTGACGGATGGGCGGACTGGGCCCAGCTCTCAGCGCAGGTCCAGAACAAGGCTTGGACTGGTACCTCCGGATCATTAACGAGATCCCATAATTGCTCTAGCCTATTATCCGGACAACAGTGACAAGTGATATTCGTACATGAAAAAAAAAAACCCAGCAGAAATGGACAGAGATTAATGAGGCCCATTAGTTGCAGGAGGGGACGGGGTAAGGCTTGCGTGTATTCTGCTGGGGCTCCCGGTGAAATGATAAACCGTGGGTCATAGCTCAAGTGTCCACGTCTGTCGGGGCTGGCAGTGTCTGCTTGCTTCTGCCCCGCACACCCGAGGGTGGAATTACAGCTTTAATACACATGCTGGCGGCCACGTGAGACTCCCTGTTTAACACGAATCATAGGCCATAGCTGCTTCCCGTGCGCCAGGTACGATCCCTGAACAGAGGCTAAGAGGGGGCAGCTGGGGCAGGGCGAAGCACAGGCGAAGGGATCCCTTCGCTTGTGCCACGCGGTGCGGTATCACGCCCCGGAGCCGTGGAAAGACCTGACTCAGGCACCCTCAGGAACCCGGCTTGCTGGTTCTCTGGTTGCTGACTGTGCTCTGGTCCCAGGGTGTGTCTTGGGAAGTCGATGCCGTTGCAACAGAGCTGACGATGCATTCGGCTCTTTATAATTGTTTTTGCGGCAGCCCACCTGAGAGTGGGGGCCCGCGGTCCACACGTGCCGGTGGAAACCACCCCAGGGCTGCCGAGCTTGCAAACGACGCAGAGGAGGCAGGTGAAACGGAGGAGGAAGGAAGCAAGCGGCTGGCCCGGGAACACAGGGGGATTGCACCCGGCTGGATGAGCATGATGGCAGCTGTGATCTGCCTGGGCTCGAGGCGTGGCTGGGTGGGGGCCAGGGCAGGGCAGGAGAGGGAGGCAGCAAGCGCCTCTGCTCGCTTCAAAGAGCACGGTTTCGAGGCCCTGCCGCCCAAGGGCGTTCCAGCTCTTGTTGACATTCGAGGTGGATCCCGGTGTGTCAGGGCCTGGCCCAGAGCCCGCGGGCTCGCCCTTGCCGTCACCACCCGCTCTCCCCACATGGGCAGACAGGCCGGCCTCGCCCTTCGTGCCCAGGCATCCTGCTGCCGCAACCCGGTCCCGCGCGCAGCACTGCGGAGGCGGAGGGCGAGCGAGCGCACAAGCTGCGGACGGTCGCTGGCTCGGACATGTCCCACGCCCGGTCAGAGTCCCGTCTGCGCCCGTCGTCCCAAACGGCCCCGGCTGCCCGAATCGCAGCGGTGGCAGGGCCGGGGCCTTTCCCTGGCGGAGCGGCCTGCCCAGGAGCACCCCCATTGCACCCCAGGGGCGCAGAAACAGCGCCCTGGCCACCAGGAAACAATTACTATTATTAAGTGATGATAATTAAATATTAACGATTAATAATTATTCTCATTAATAATAAATGTGTCATTACCATTAATAATAACGATTAAAAATTAATAATAATTAATAAGCATTGTTAATTATTATCGTTAATTATTATTAATTATAATGATTAATTGTTAACGATTAATAATACTCATCATTAATAATTATCATTAGTTATCATCAGGAATAATAATAACCGTTAATTATTATTAATGACTTAATTACAATTAGCAATTATTATTAATAATTATAATGATTAATTATTAATAATTACTTTTTGTAAATGAACCAGGAGGAAACCACCCCCTGGGCGGGGCCACAGGCCCGAGGCGGCGCGCGGGACTCGACCCTACCGTCCCCAGTCCGAGGAGACGCGCGGCCCCGCCCCCAAGCGGCGGTTACCGCGGCAACCGCGGCGCTTCCCTAGGCCCCGCCCCGTGCCCGCCCCTCGGGCAGCAGGGTAGGCGGAGCCGGGCGGGCCCAGCAGACTAGGCTGCGCCGCGAGCCCGGCGGGAGCG